TCCTTGCCCTCTACGACTCCCTGAAAGGAGGGTGTAGAGAGGCAGGGGGTGGCCTCTTCTCCCAAAGGACGAATGACAAGACCAGAGGAAATGGTCTGAAGTTGGGGCAGGGGAGATTTAGATTAGATATTAGAAAGAACTACTTTACTGAGAGAGTGGTCAGGCCCTGGAACAGCCTGCCCAGGGAGGTGGTGGAGTCACCATCCCTGGAGGGATTTAAGAAATGTATAGACATGGCTCTTCAGGGCATGCTCTAGTGCCCAAGGTTATTGGTTTATGGTGAGGTGTTGAGTGTGGGGTTTAGTTGGTGGGTGCGGTGTTTTTGGTGGGCGTTTGGTGTGGGGTGTTTTTTGGGGTTTTGTTTTTTGTTTTGGGTTTTTGTTTTTTTTTTTTTGTGGTTGGACTCGATCTCAGAGGTCCCTTCCAACCACTAAGATTCTGTGATTCCCCGTTCCCATCCCCGCAGTGTCCCTGGAGAACGTGCTGCTGGATGTGAAGGAGCTGGGCCGGGGGATGGAGCTGCTGCGGCGGGAGTGCGGGCTGCACGAGAGCGGCGTCCTGCGCGCCTTCCTGGCGGGCAGCGAGGGGAAGCTGGAGCGGCTGCAGAAGGACGCGCGGACGGCTGAGGTGAGGGCTGCGCCTCACACGGCTCCCGTGCACCCCTTGCATGCACGCCTGGCTTCGGGCGGCTCTTGTGCACGTCTTCGTGGTACGCTACTGGTGCATGCCTTGCTTTTCACACCCCTCATGCATGTCTTGCTACACACAGCTTGCTTTGCAGGGCTCTTGTGCACAGCTTGCCTTGCACACTGCTTGTGCATGCCTTGCTTTTCACACCCCTCATGCATGTCTTGCCACACACAGCTTGCTTTGCACGGCTCTTGTGCATGCCTTGCTTTTCACGGCCCTTGTGCATGCCATACTCTGCACGGCCCTTGTGCACGCCTTGTCACACACGGCTTGCTTTGCACGCTCCTTGTGCACGCCTTGCCTCACACAGCCCTCATCCACACCTTGCTTTGCACGTCCATTGTGCACGCTCGTCTTGCTTTGCACACTCCACGCGTGTGCCTTGCTTTGCACAGCCCTCACGCACACCTTACTTCTCACATTCCTTGTACACGCTTTGCTTTTCGCAGCCCTTGCTTTGCACACTCCTCAAGCACGCCTGTCTTGTTTTGCATGCTCCATGTGTGTGCCTTGATTTGCACGGGCCTTGTGCGCGTCTTGTCACACACACCTTTGCAGGCTCTTTGTGTGTGCCTTGTTCTGCATGCTCCTCCTGCACGCCTTCCTTTGCACACTCCTCGTGCAGGTCTTGCTTTGCACAGCCCTTGTGCAAGTCTTGCTTTGCACACTCCTCGTGCACACCTTGCCTTGCACACCCCTTGTGCCCGTGGGTGACAGTCCCGTCCCCCGTTGCAGGACGCCTACAACACCGTGGTGCGGTATTTCGGCGAAAGCCCCAAGACCACGCCCCCGTCCGTCTTCTTCCCGGTTTTTGTCCGGTTCATCCGCTCCTACAAGGTGAGGTGGGGCCGGGAGGGGACAGGCGGGGGGGTGGTGACACCGGTGACAAATCGTGGGGGGGATGTGTGACAGTGGTGTCTCCCACTGCCCGGCAGGACGCAGAGCAGGAGAACGAGACGCGGAAGAAGCAGGAGGAGGTGATGCGGGAAAAGCTGCTGGCGCAGGAGGCAAAGAAGCAGGAGAAGGTGGGCACAGGGGTAGGCTTGGGGGAGGGGGGGTGGAAAATGACACTGGGGGGGGGGACACCCGTGTCCCCAACCTGTGTCCCCCCCGTGCCTCCCTTGCAGCGGAACAAGTGGCAGCAGCAGGAGCTGATTGCGGAGCTGCGGCGGCGCCAAGCCAAGGACCATCGCCCCGTCTACGAGGGCAAGGACGGCACCATCGAGGACATCATCACCGGTACGGCCCCCCCCGGCCCCCCCAGCCCTGACACCCGGGTCCTGCCCGCGTGCGGGGAATGACGTTTCCCTGTCGTCGTCCCCCCCGCCCGTGCCCCCCCTGCAGCGCTGAAGAGCGTCCCCTTCACGGCCCGCACCGCCAAGCGGGGCTCGCGCTTCTTCTGCGACCCGTCCCACCACGACGAGTCCAACTGTTAGCCCCCAGGTACCGCCTGCATGCCGGGACCCCCGACCTCCCCACCACCGCATGCCCCCCTCTGCATGCTCCCTCCCTGCATGCCCTCACCCCGGGGTGCCCGGCACCCACAGCCCCTCGCAGCGCAGCAGAGTCCCGGCACTGGATCCCGGCACTGGATCCTGGTGCAAGGCTGGATCCCGGCATTGGATCCCGGTGCAAGGCTGGATCCCAACTGGATCCCAGCACTAGATCCCGGTGCAAGGCTGGGTCCCGGCACTAGATCCCAGCACTGGATCCCGGTACAAGGCTGGATCCTGGCACTGGATCCCAGCACTGGATCCCAGTGCAAGGCTGGGTCCTGGCACTGGGTCCTGGCGCAAGGCTGGGTCCTGGCACTGGATTCCGGTGCAAGGCTGGGTCCTGGCACTAGATCCTGGCACTGGATCCCAGTGCAAGGCTGGGTCCCAGCACTGGATCCCGGCACAGGATCCCGGCGCAAGGCTGGGTCCCGGCACTGGGTCCTGGTGCAAGGCTGGATCCCAACTGGATCCCAGCACTGGATCCCAGTGCAAGGCTGGGTCCCGGCACTGGATCCTGGCACTGGATCCCGGTGCAAGGATGAGGCCCAGCACTGGATCCCGGTGCAAGGCTGGGTCCCGGGCACTGGGTCCTGGGCACTGCATCCCGGCATTGGATCCCGGTGCAAGGCTGGATTCCAACTGGATCCCAGCACTGGATCCCAGTGCAAGGCCGGGTCCCGACACTGGGTCCTGGCACTGGATCCCAGTGCAAGGCTGGGTCCTGGCACTGGGTCCTGGCACTGGATCCCGGTGCAAGGCTGGGTCCTGCCACTGCATCCCGGCATTGGATCCCAGTGCAAGGCTGGATCCCAACTGGATCCCAGCACTAGATCCCAGTGCAAGGCTGGGTCCGGGCACTGGATCCTGGAATTGGATCCCGGTGCAAGGCTGGGTCCCGGGCACTGGGTCCTGGGCACTGCATCCCGGCATTGGATCCCGGTGCAAGGCTGGATTCCAACTGGATCCCAGCACTGGATCCCAGTGCAAGGCCGGGTCCCGACACTGGGTCCTGGCACTGGATCCCAGTGCAAGGCTGGGTCCTGGCACTGGGTCCTGGCACTGGATCCCGGTGCAAGGCTGGGTCCTGCCACTGCATCCCGGCATTGGATCCCAGTGCAAGGCTGGATCCCAACTGGATCCCAGCACTAGATCCCAGTGCAAGGCTGGGTCCGGGCACTGGATCCTGGAATTGGATCCCGGTGCAAGGCTGGGTCCTGCCACTGCATCCCGGCATTGGATCCCAGTGCAAGGCTGGATCCCAACTGGATCCCAGCACTAGATCCCAGTGCAAGGCTGGGTCCGGGCACTGGATCCTGGAATTGGATCCCGGTGCAAGGCTGGGTCCTGCCACTGCATCCCGGCATTGGATCCCAGTGCAAGGCTGGATCCCAACTGGATCCCAGCACTAGATCCCAGTGCAAGGCTGGGTCCGGGCACTGGATCCTGGAATTGGATCCCGGCGCAAGGCTGGGTCCTGGAAATAGAACAAGGCTGGATCCTGGCACTGGATCCCAGTGCAAGGATGAGGCCCAGCACTGAATTCTGGCGCAAGGCTGGGTCCTGGCACTGGATCCCGGTGCAAGGCTGGGTCCTGGCACTGCATCCCGGCATTGGATCCCGGTGCAAGGCTGGATCCCAACTGGATCCCAGCACTAGATCCCAGTGCAAGGCTGGGTCCTGGCACTGGATCCCGGCACTGGATCCTGGTGCAAGGATGAGGCCCAGCACTGGATCCCGGCACTGGATTCCGGTGCAAGGCTGGGTCCCAGCACTGGATCCCGGCACTGGATCCTGGTGCAAGGCTGGGTCCTGGCACTGGATCCCGGCACTGGATCCTGGTGCAAGGCTGGGTCCCATCACTGGATCCCGTCACTGGATCCCCAGTGCAAGGCTGGGTCCTGGCACTAGATCCTGGCACTAGATCCCAGTGCAAGGCTGGGTCCCGGCACTGGGTCCCGGCACTGGGTCCTGGCACTGGATCCTGGTGCAAGGCTGGATCCCAACTGGATCCCAGCACTGGATCCCGGTGCAAGGCTGGGTTTCCAGCATGGGCCTTTTGCTGCAGTGCAGGGTCCCAGTGCACGACTGGATCCCTTCACAGGATCCCGATGTGAGGGTGGATCCCAGTGAGGGTCCTGGTGCAGGACTGGGTTACCAGCACTGGGGGGGGGTGTCTTTGCTGCAGTGTGGGGGTCCCAGTGCAACAGCAGATCCCAGCAGGGGATCCCTGTGCATTACTGGGTCCCAGGGCAGGGTCCCAGTGCAACAGTGGATCCCAGCAAGGGATCCCAGTACATTGCTGGGTCCCAGGGCAGGGTCCCAGTGCAACAGTGGATCCCAGCAAGGGATCCCAGTACATTGCTGGGTCCCAGGGCAGGGTCCCAGTGCAACAGTGGATCCCAGCAAGGGATCCCAGTACATTGCTGGGTCCCAGGGCAGGGTCCCAGTGCAACAGTGGATCCCAGCAAGGGATCCCAGTACATTGCTGGGTCCCAGGGCAGGGTCCCAGTGCAACAGTGGATCCCAGCAAGGGATCCCAGTACATTGCTGGGTCCCAGGGCAGGGTCCCAGTGCAACAGTGGATCCCAGCAAGGGATCCCAGTACATTGCTGGGTCCCAGGGCAGGGTCCCAGTGCAACAGTGGATCCCAGCAAGGGATCCCAGTACATTGCTGGGTCCCAGGGCAGGGTCCCAGTGCAACAGTGGATCCCAGCAAGGGATCCCAGTACATTGCTGGGTCCCAGGGCAGGGTCCCAGTGCAACAGTGGATCCCAGCAAGGGATCCCAGTACATTGCTGGGTCCCAGGGCAGGGTCCCAGTGCACTACTTGATCCCAGCATGGGATCCCCGTGCATTACTGGGTCCCAGTGGACTACTTGATCCCAGCAAGGGATCCCGGTGCGCTACTGGATCCCAGCAAGGGATCCCAGTGTGAGTCTGTGTCCCAGCCCGGTGCCTGGAACACTGGCCCCGAGCTGCCTCGGCCCCACTGGGGTCACCCGGGACCCTCCCCAGGCCCGGGGGTCCCCTGACGCTGTCCCTTCCATCCCACAGCCCGCAGGTGGATCCGCCTGTAGCCGAGTGAGGGTAAGGACCCT